CTTCAAGATGCTCCTAAGAAGCTAGAGAAAAAAAAAAATCATTATTCTGTGCATCACATTATTAATAGTCAATCAGAAAAGCTCTGAGTCTCAAGTTTTGAAGATTGATTATGTAGCTAGTTTTCTCTTTGCCTTAACCACCTCTTTCTTCTCCACCAGGGACCAGTCCAATGTGAGGCGAATGCATACTGCAGTCAAGCTTAATGAGGTTATAGTTAACAAGTCCCATGAAGCAAAGTTGGTTTTGTTGAATATGCCAGGGCCACCCCGAAACCCTGAGGGTGATGAAAACTGTATCCTTTCAAAGAGTGGAGTTGCCAGTAGGGAAGATTTTCTCAGCTTATTTAGTGTATGAGACAATAGATAACTATAAAATTCATCAACTATTCCACCCATTTCCCTCGGTTTGAGATAGGAAGACTTTACTTAGGCAAGTATTCTTACGAAGTAGTAAAATTTAATCTTCTCTTGGGGATTTGGGGGTGCAATATATTTTCTCTGAACCCTGCAGAGACTTTTTAGGTGGTATATTTGCAAGGTGACTTCTAGTATTCAGTGTACAAAACCCTTTCTGACAATTCCAGAGGCAGATTACTCACATCTTTATTCCCTACCTGGCTCCACCCACTTTGCAAAGCCACTTTTTTTTGTATGGAGTTAGGGGAGAAGCAGTTGAAGTGGAATTTCCTTCAGCTGAGGAAAAATATTAGGGTTTTTTTTCACATACCTTCATCCCAGGTTTTACTGAATCTATGTAAACTGATCTATACCAGTACCAAACCTGGGAGAAAAATCTGGGTTGAATAACTTCACTTAGAAATTATTTGGGTTCTCTAGTAGTAGCTTAGGAGGAAGCTCTGGTGGCATAGTGCCTAAGGCACTTGACTGCTAACCAGAAGGCTGGTGGTTCAAACCCACCAACCACTCCTCGGAAGGAAGGTTGGGCAATCTACTTCCATAGTGGTAAGGAGGGGTCTCTGTGAGTCAGGTCTGACTTGACTGCAAATAACAACAACAGTAGTAGCTCTGGTGGCATAGTGCCTAAGGCATTTGATGCTAACCAGAAGGCAGCGGTTCACACCCATCAGCCACTCCTGGGAAGGAAGGTTGGGCAATCTATTTCCATAGTGATAGTGCCTCAGAAACCCAAGGAGGGGTCGCTATGAGTCGGATCTGACTTGACAGCAGTTAGTTTGTTTTTTTTTTTTTTTTTTTTGGTTTGGAATCTTACAAGCTGCCCTATTGAGGCTTTTTTGGGTTTTGGTAGTTTTTGTTTTATTTTGCCATTTAGAAAAACACGTTACTGTGGATTTCCTTATTCTTAAAATAACATTTAGAAAGTATCTAATAAATGAGAAAGAATCTTGCATTATATTTGCCAAGGGAATGGTTCCCTGGATTATTTCACAGGGCTAAATTGAATCCAAAGTTTAGACTTTTCCAATTTCAAGCATATAATAATCAAGACAAGTGTGTCACATTTTGCAGTTCTGTGCTTACATTCAGATTATCAGAATACCAGATTGTAAAACATACTCTTCCCCTGCTTCTTTGTGTCCTTGACAAGTTCTGAAGACATGGAGTTCCTAGAAGTGCTCACCGAGGGACTTGAGCGAGTCCTCCTTGTCCGAGGTGGAGGCAGTGAAGTGATCACCATTTATTCATAATCTGCCTCTGAATGACTCTGCTTGGCCTCACCTTTCCAAAAAGGCTTCTGTCCTCCATGGAAGCATCAGCCCTTTACTACCATTCCCACTCAGCTAGCGGACTGTATTCTATACACATCACACTGAACTCTTGATGAGCTGAGCTTCAAGCACTTGTTCAAAAGCATACAAGTAGATCAGCTCTGTGCTCCCATATGATGCTGGCTTTATAGAAGCAAATACTCCCTCAACATCAGAGCAATGGTCAAATTCTAAAAGCCATGTCTTTACCAGTCAAAGGCAAGTTGGAATTAGCAAGCTAAGTGATTCAAATGAATTGGCAAAAGGGATGCCAGAAATTCACCTGAAGACAAAATTTTGCAAGCACATATCCATTTTAAAGATGAGTCTTGGAAGTCCTGCTTCAGTGATGACACCATGGGGTAGCAGTCAGAGATATAGCATCATCTTATTAAAAGAATTCAGGGCCAAGTATATGGGATCCTGATACCCTTATGGGAATAACCCGTGGCAAGCCAAAATGGGAATCTTTATTAGCTGACTTTCGTGTACACATTGCTCTCTAGGACTCTAATTTTTTTATTAGGGTACTAATGCACAAAAACTGAAATATGGCTTTAGCCACCACTTGCTCCAACACAAAAGTTCCCCAGAATACCAAGTTTAAGTATATATACTGTGTTGATGTATATTTCACTTGTCTGCTTCTCAAAATTCATTCAGTAGTAAAAATTGTAACACAGACAGTGTTACAATGGAAACTGCTTTTCAAAAGATAATTATTTTTGGGGGGGTTTCTTTTCAAATGGTTGAACAAAGGGAACTCCAAAAAGTAGCTATTAAGATTTACTTAAATACAACCTTTGGTTATGTATGTGACATGGGTAAAACATACAAGCTCTTATGTATGAAACATAGGTCATGATGAACACTGGCCAATAGGTTCTCCTTTACTTTTATGCCCTCAGGGTTAGTAAGAATAGGTCAGAAAAATCACGGGAACAAACACAAGGAAGACTGGCTAAAATCTTTTCCTGAAAGTTCTGGATCATCTTTTTAAGGGAGAATCCAGCAATGGAATTAGAAGTTCTAGAGCCATACTTTTTCCATAGTGCCAAAGGTCTTGAGCTGCTACTACTCTTACTTGTTTTGCTAAAATAAAATATAAATTGGCATTGGCCTATTTCAAGAAACTTCTCTTCACCAAGAAACTTGTGTGGTCTCATCTCCAAAGAGTTGAGGTACTCACCTAACTGCCTAGAATGTGAGCATTTTTCCCTCCTGCTTTCAATTTTATTCTTCATTCTGACTGCAGAAACTTGGCTCTGAACTAAGATTATCCAAGCCAGATCTTCTGCTATTTCAGTCGTTTCCAGAAATCTCTCAGTGTGCCAATGTGCAAGCTCAGCTTTGTTTTATATTTGTCCCCTCACTAATTTAACGCTCATAAAATTCCTGGCTTTCAAGCATACAGAAACTACTCTGTGACTGAGCAGTAATTTCAAATATGTATTAAAGTCGTCTTTTTTTTTTTTACAGGATAGGTATTTAGAGAAACTATCTTCTTGTTGTATTCATGGCTGCTTTTGAATTTTGCTTTATTAATGTTAGTGCCACTCTTCCTTGATTATCCAGTAGGATATGGAGCAAGTTACTTAGGTGCCAGCAGATTGTTCGTTTGACTTTTGGAGGCAAGGAAGAAAATCCTTCAATATGGCTTAAGAAAATCATTTTGATTTGTTTCTTTTGCTCTTTCAACCTCTAGGCCCACTCAAGGTAGCAAAGCAGACAGGATCTTAAGTTTTGTTTTTCTTGCTCCTTCCTGCAGAGGGTAAAGCATTATTTTACAGCTCTCATTGCAACACTCCATTGTTGAGTACAGCACTAGAGGAACAGGTCCCCTAGGATTCAAGATCTTGAAGGTCAGTCTGTGCAGGAATTCCCCTGCATTTATACACATTCCCCCTTCCACCACATGTAGGACAAAAATGGTCAAAATATAACATTAATTTTAGGAGGGCTGTTTGTAGTTGGAGCTCTGTCAGAATCTTACAAAAGGATAAGGAAAGCAGTGGCTATTAATGTAGCCTCTACAGTAAGTCCCTGGTTACAAACGTCTGGCTTATGGACAACTCCTATTTGTCCTTTAATGTTATTAAAGTTAAATGTTAAGTTTGCCCTCTCTTGAAACGACTGAACCCACCCCTACTCTCAACAAATTCTTCATCACAATCACCTTCACTTGCTGCACATGTAGTTTTTAAATCATTTAAAAGGCTTTGAGCTTTTTCTTGCACTAAAGTAAAGCTAAATAATGTAGCTGTTCCAACTTTTACCTATGAATTGCAATTAAAGACCCACTTAGGAATCAGTCTTGTTAGTAACTAGGGCACTGCCTGTATTCTACTTCAATCCCTAAAACATAAAATCAGTGTTACATGGAAGAATGGTTATTAAGCCAGATTTACACTCATCTCTGTCAAGAGCATTTCATGTCTATATGTGTTGCTTATGTTGTCTGTCTGCAAAATGTTTTGTCTTTCTTAATCACTGCAAATAAAGCAATACCGAAAACTTGATAAGAAAATGCACCTTAGGGGAAGGGGCTTTGTGTTTCAAGAGAGAGAAAGATCTCCTGCCTTTGGAATAAGATGAGCCAGCTTTTAAGTCTCAGCTATGATTTTACCAGAGCAGGTTATACCTTTAAATGCCTCAGATTTCTGTGATCCCAAGGATCCCACCAATCCTCATTCCCACTAAACATGTTAAAAATCCATTATTGTGGGTGTTAAAGTAGTAACTACATTGTAAACATATTTATGTGCTCATTTTTTCTGGTTTTTCTTTTCATCATGTATAGTCTCAATCCAGCATTAGTTTCTTACATCTTTTACCAGTGTCTCCAATAGAATTTTTATATCCCATCTTGTGTTAAACAAACAGAAGTGAAATTATTAAGGAAAATAGATTTAAGGGAAACATGTGCAACTTTTTTGTTCATAACCATTTAATTTATTGAGAGGAGATGCTGTGTGGTTCTTGATTTAGCAGCATCCATTTGTTTGTTTACAGAGTTATAGTTTTGTTTGTTGTTTTGCTCTGTACTGGAAACATAAATAAAGTTTTCTACATTATTTTCAGTGAGGGGTTGTGCTATAGTTTCTTTGGGTATGTATTTTATAGACATTGTCCTTCTAGGGTTTGTCTCCTCACCATAGACATGGATTCTTTCCAACACAAGTGAAAATTTTTAAGGTGAGTATGCCGAGCAGGAACTATTGGCCCTAAAAAAGTATATAAATGAGATCCAAATCCTTAAGGTGCCAGATGCATCTATCTCAGGTTCATAAAAGCAATCCCCCACCACTGAACTCCATTCTCTGGAAAAAAGAAAAAATAAATAGGTAAGTGGTGTAAGAGTGTGAAATGACTTCCTGAATTAGTCATAGTCATTTAATACTTTAATCACAAGTTCTATTTTATCTTATACTTAAAAAATGACAACTCTCAAATTCCTAATGGCTCTTATTTCTTAAGGCCTGACTTCTAATACCAACTCTAATTTCCCACCATCAAATGGGGGAGCTGTTCATTGTGCATTACAACTGACCAATATTTAACTTCACTTTTGCCTTACCTCTGGGGGCTCGATGAAAGCTAACCAATCTGAAGCATGTGTAGGCAACAGTCCCATGGACTGGCACTTGTAAACAGCCAGTGCCAAACCCATGAGGTTCCCAATAAGATAAACCAAACCCTGAAGAAACTTCTGGCTTGAACTTTCTAACATCTTGAAAGCTGTTGAGATAAAAGAAGGTATCAAAAACCAAAACAACTTTTTTTTCCCAGTATGAATCAAACTAACTATACATTAGGAGTGGTTAAGTGCTTGGCTATTAACTGAAAGGTAGGAAGTTTGAACCCACCAGGCATCCCATGGGAGAACGATAGAAGCAGTCTGCCTCTGTAAAGATTTACCACGTTGGAAACCCTATAGGGCAGTTCTATTCTGTCCTATAGATCGCTATGAGTCAGAATCAACTCAATAGCAATGGAATTTTTTTGGTTCTTGGTAACTATATATTAAAACAATATAGACAGACCGAGAGTAAGATGGAAAATAGGGCAATTAAATGCAAACAGAAAACTATGATAAGCACTATTTTCCCTCCATGCCACCATTTCTGTCACCCTGAACACTTCCCCCCTCACCCTACCATTTCTACCCCCTGCACCCACTCCCCCTACAACAACCTAAGAGCTGTACCAAATATTTCCAATACAGACTTTGACTAAGAATTTGTCTTTAATCTTAAAATCCAGGAAGGGTTGTATCAAGAATACTTACTGGCTGAAATGGCCATAAGTGCCTGTATAGGTCGCCAGGCCATCATACACACCATCATGGTAGGAAAGATGGATATAGTATTGCCAGCCATGTACATGATGAAGAGGTTCATGGGAATCTGTTTGAGGGGACCCAAGGCGATGTCCCAGCAGCGCTAAAATAAATAATTTTAACCTCTGGTCACTATTCTCAGTCCCACATTTATTGTACCACTGACGTTAAAGTGAAAAAAGAAGATGAATAAGTTGACCCCTTGGTTCCACCATCTCTTCTCTTCTCCATGTTGCTGCAGGAAGTGTTTTCTTCTTCTAAAGATCAGACATCCTCACCATCTGTTAGGTTTTTCCTTATAGGTTTTCCAGATATCATTTCCCCCATTTGGCTAAAAACAAACAAAAGACTTCCCTGGTTCTGTCCATGTATTTTTGCATCTACAATTGGAAAAACAGACAAATCCACAATCACAGTGGGAGATTAACATACTGAAATCAATAATACAACAAGACAAGGATGAAGAATATTTGAATGGCCATTATTAACACAGATACATGTAGAACACTGCACCCCAGCTACTGCAGAATTCACATTCACATGGAACATTTACAAAAACCACTTGCTGAGCTGTGGAGAAAGTGTCAATAACCCTCAAAGAACCAAAATTATATAAAGCATGTCCTTTGACTACAACATAATTAAACTTAGCATAACATAAAAGATAACTAGAAAGTCCCCATGTTTGGGAATTAACAGATGTACTCCAAATTAGAAAACATTAAAATGGAAAAGTATTGATAAAAAATAATCACATATTAAAACTTGTGGGCTACAGAGCGGGGTTGAAAAATTTATAACCTTAAATGCATATTAGAAGACTAAGAATGACCCATCTCAAGAAGTTAAAGAACAAATTAATCCCAAGGAAATAAAGATGAAAGCAGAAATTAATGGAAATGTGGGAGAGAGATAAACAGATCTACTGACTCAGGACCATAGTACGGGGACACCAGACTCAATTGGTACAAAATACGTAAAAGTTTTGTTCCTCATCCTACATTGGTGAGTAGCACCTGGGGTATTAAAAGCTTACAAGCAGCCATCTAAGATGCAGCTAATGGTCTCTTATTGTCAGAAGAAAAAAAGAGTGCAAGAAACCAAGGGCATTTGGAAGCAATCAGCCCTAGGATATGATGGCCCTCTAGACCAGAAGAACTAGATGGTGCCTGGCTACCAATGCCAACCACTCAGGAAAGTATCAAATCTGGACATCCTGGATAGAGAGGCAGGACAAATGTGGAACAAAATCCAAAAACCCAATAATGACCAGATTACTGGTCTGATGGAATCTGATGAGACCCCCCAATATTATGGCTAGGATACATTCTGGGACTGGAATAAAACTCACTCCCAGGGGCTGGCTTTCAGCCCAATGTTGTTGTTGTTGTTGTTTGCCATCGAGTCGGCCCCGACTCAGTGACCCCTCCTTGGGTTTCCGAGGCAGTATCACTACGGAAGTAGGATTGCCCAACCTTCCTCCCGAGGAGTGGCTGGTGGGTTTGAACCGCCAGCCTTCTGGTTAGCAGTCAAGTGCTTTTAGCCACTATGCTACCAGAGCTCCCAATAATAAACAAGATATATACGCAGACCACCCAACCCAGGGTGATGCACTCACATACTGTATGGAGATACATCCTTTGGAGCAATCGACCACAGGGCACCAGAGGGACAACATTCACACAAAGGAAACACAGGACACACAGGAGTACATAATGATGAGGGGCATGGGGGGAGGGGGGTGCGGTTTACTGGGCAGTGAGAGGAGACTGGGTTAGGATTGGGGATGGTAAATGCGGAGTTAAACTAAACGTACACAAAACGTTGAATGTAAAACTCTGTAAACTTGCACCTGAAGCACAATTAAAAAAAAAAAAATTAATGGGAAAAAAAAAATACTGGTGAGCCTGATGAAGAAAAAATGGAAAAACACAAATACTCAACATCAGGAATGAAAAAAGGGACATCTCTATAGAGAATGCAGAATATTAATCATATTATGAACAACTTCATATCAATACATCTGAAAATAAAGGATATGGATAAATTCCCAGAAACCAAAACAACCTGAAAAACTGCACAAGATATTGGAAATATACACAGTCCTATAAATGCTACACAAACTCTTCTAGAGAATTAAAAAAAAAAAATCATGCAACTCATTTTATTGTTGCTGTTGTTGTTATTTGCCATCCAGTAGCCCCCGACTCATAGAGACCCCTCCTTGGGTTTCCGAGGCAGTATCACTATGGAAGTAGGATTGCCCAACCTTCCTTCCGAGGAGTGGCTGGTGGGTTTGAACCGCCAGCCTTCTGGTTAGCAGTCAAGTGCCTTAGGCACTATGCTACTAGAGCCCCTATTCATTTTATTAGAGCCTCATAAATACCAAAAAGGACATTATGGGAAAGTAAAGTTGAAGGTCAATACCTATTGCATATAAATCTAAAAACCCTAAACAAAACATTAGCAAACTAAATCTACCTATATAAAAAAACACACAACTACCTGTTCGCATTTACTCACCACATTAAAATAATAAATGGCCATATTTATAAATGGTCCCCTAATTTGTCATTTACAAAAAAGATCTTTTATCTGGGAATTTAAATTTCTAATCATCCAAACAACAGAATTGGTCTAAAAGATATATTTTATGATAATCTACCATTAAAATGAGGTCATTTTAATAATAATTTGCTATCATCTATTCATGCTATAGTTTAATACACTAAGATGCAAAATGGTGACAATGCTTAGAAAATAACTGAAAATGTCACTTTCATGTCATAAAAATTACATGCATTCCATGAAACAAAGAGAAAAACGTAATAAACAATAGAGGTGCCAGGCACTTTTCTAGGCACTCGGGATCTATCGGTGGACAAAAGAGACAAAAAATTGTGCCCTCATGGAGCTTACTAGAATAAGCAGACAGGCAAGAAACCATATCATAAATGCTATGGGGAAATATAAAGTAGCAAAACAGGATAGGGAGTGCCATGAGAGCAGGCTTCACTAAGAAGGTAACATGAGAGTCACAGAATAAATAAGGTTGCAATTATAAAGGTATCTGGGGGAAGAATGTTCAAGAAAGAAGGAAGAACATCTACAGACAAACCACCCTAAACATGCCCAATCTCATCCGATCCTAGAAAAAAGGGGGAAGAACAAGTACAAAAACCCTGTGATGGTAGGTTGCTTTCCATGTCCAAAGAATGGCAAGGCAGCCACTGAAACCAGAGTAGCCTAAACAAAGAGGTAAGTAATAGGAGATGAGATTGAAGAGGTTACCAGGGCTTGATCATGCAATTATGTAGAATATTCCAAAGACTGGCTTTCACTCAACTGGGGAGTCATAGGAGAGTAATGATCTGACATGTTTTAAAAGGATCACTCTGGGTTCCTGTAAGATGGTGGAATAGGCAGAAAGACTGCACAGACCCTCTTCGACAAAGAAAAGGAGAACCAATTAACACAGACACAGAAGATAATCCTGGAGTGCTGAGCTTTGAAGGGAAAGATATAAAAGTAGACTAAACTCCAAATAGCAAAAGAATATGAACGAAAACACCAAAAAAAGGAACATACGGAGCTGTGGTCTGGCAGCGATCCTGATGGCACAGACAGCTTGGATATTGCCGAGTGTTGGTACGAGCTAAGAATTAACCTAAAAAATCAGCCCTCCGAGCCAGGGACTCCATGGAGGACTGCTCTGGTGGCTGGTGAATAAAAGGGGAAGCAGCGAAGAGGAAGGCAGGCTGAGCTGTGCACTTTTGCCTGTCTGGAGGGTACAGCCATTTGAAATGTTTACAAGCGGTTTGACCATTTTGGATATTTAAAGCAACAGCTTTCTTCCGGATTCCAGGGACTTAAGAATAGGCTCCACTCACCAGGAACCACAAGGACATTTCGGACCCAGATGACAGGAAAGGTGTGACATTCCCCTTGTTACTCTTATATCCCACACCCTCTTGGTGAACAGAGATGCATCCATCTCTCAGTCCCACCCATCTTCTAGACCAGCAGGAATCCCATCCCAGTCTGTGTGTTCTGACGGAGCCTGGGTGCCCTGCCCCACCTTGCCCTAATTTTTTTTTCTTTTTTCTAGCTTGTTTGTTTTGCCTGTTGTAAAACTACTACTATTATTATTATTATTACTTTTTTTTTTTTTTTTTTTTTTCTTTCTCATGATTAACTCTGTTCCTTATTTTTCTTTTTTGCATTTTTACCAATTTTTCTTCATTATTCTTTTTCTCTACCTTTTTTTTTCTCTACCTTTTTTTTCTCTTATTGCCCTCTCCCTAGATACTGCAGGGTTTTTTTTTGTTGTTGTTGTTTTGCCTTTTTTCTTTTTTTGGTTACTCTTCCTATGTAATTACATGGTGTGTTTTTTGTCCATTTGTTTTTACTTTTTTGATGGTTAGTCAATAGTTAGCTTTGTCTAACTGAGTGGGAGACAGCAACAATCTCCATATGACACAACTACACCCACACTTCCTGCAGCTTCACTTACTGAGAGCCCCCACTACATTCTCCACCAACAGGCCAATGATAAACAACCACCAAGAAGGACCTGACTACCCTTAGCTGCTCTTCACAAACAGTTAACAGAGATCTACATACAAAAATGTCACAATGTCTCAGAGACAACAGACCATCACAGTCCACACAAAGAAGCAAAATAAAGTGCTAGAGCAGGATACAGACACAGAACATATCCCTAAGGAAGAAGCAGCATTGAAACTCCCTGATAAGGAATTCAAAAGAATTTTATTTAGGTCTAATCGTCAAAGGATTGAGAGACAGATGAAGGAAAACACAGATAAAACCCTAGAAGAATTTCGGAAGAAAATACAAGAACAAAATGACAAAATAAATGAAAAATTAGAAATGATTCAAAATCTACAGACAGAAACCCAGATGATTAATACTAAATTGTTAGAAATAGTTAAGACATTGAAAGGGCAAAGAAGTAGAATTGACGCAATGGAAGACAGAACTAATAAGACTGAAGACAAATATCTGAATACTTCTTTGGAAAGGGATCAATCAGAAATAAAGATCAAAACAAAGTGAAGAAAGCCTAAGGATCACGTGGGATAC